TTTTCCCAGTCTTTTTTTCTTTCGTTTTTTTTTTTTTTTTTTAAGTCATTTCCTACATACTTTACAGTTTTAGTTGCTATTCTGAGTATCTTATTTTAAAAATTTTTTTTCTAGTCAGTTAATGCTGGTATAGAGCAATGCTGGTGATTTTTGGAGGCCAATCTTGTTATCCCACAACCTTGCTGAACTCTAGTACTGGGTCTCGTGTTACCTCGGTCGAGTCGGTTGGATTTCCTATGTATATGATCACAACTGGAGCTCCTTCCTTGCAGTTCTTTCCCCAGTTCCTTCTTCGTCTTTCATATGGCGTTGGACAGCCCCTCCAGTCCTGTGATGATGGACACCTTCGTCTTGTTTCTGATCTTAAAGAGAATGCATTCATGGGTTATCTATTGAGTGTGTTTGCTGTTTTTGTGGTATAACCTTTATCAAGTAAGGAGAGTTTCCTCCTATTCCTCATTTGCTAAGAGTATTTTTCTTAATGGTAAATAGGTACTGACCTTTGTCAAATGCATAATGTTTTGAAATGTACCAGAGGATTAGGTCTGACCGTTCACAGGAGAGTATCTTATATGAACAGTGTCATAGCATAGCCAGGGATTCAGAAACCCAGTCTCCATTCCCAGCAGTTTCACTAACCAACACTGTAATCACGGATTTGTCACTTGACCTTCCTGAATCTTGGTAGCCTAATTTGTAGGGTGACAGGTTTAGATTAAATAATATAAGATGTTCCTAATTTTATCACAAACAGAAAGAGATTCTCCAAAGTCTCGTGTAAGTTTTAAGTCCCTCTTATCTTGAGAAATGATTCTCTACTTCAAAATGTAGTTATTTTTAATACTTCTCATAATTAAATGTTGCTTTTGTTGTTTTCAACTGATTTTAAAATGATCTTGTCTTAATATATTCTATGATTATCCAACTTTATCCAGAATTCAATTTTAATAAAGTACCGATCAGCGACACATGCCCATATCTCTGATGCCGTATTGCTCTATCTCCAGTCCGTGGTTATTCCTCAACTCTGGACTCACCAAGCTAACTGCCTACTGGTGTCTCTTGTCCCACATGTAGGTTGGTAACAGTGTTGCCGAAGCCAAACCCCTCATTTATTTCCCTGTAGACCTGTTCCACCTTCTGTGTTTTGTCTACACAGTTGCCCAATCCAGAAAACTGGGTGCCACCTCGACTCTTCCAGTCTCTCGTCTTCCACATCAAACACCAAGCCCTCCAGAAGCTACCTCCTAAATCAAATCACCCATTACTCTCCAACCCCTGGCCAAGGCTGCCATCTTCTTTGATCACTGAAGTAGCCTTGTGACTAGTTTCCCTGCATCCTGACATACACACACAGTCCCCAATCTATTCTTCACAATGTTCTTTCTAAAAGGGAACCCAGGACTCTTTAGTGGCTCCCCAGTGCCCTTAGATCCAGACTACTTAATATACCTTATAATTAGGCTGACCACATAACCTAGCATCCAAACTGGGACACTCTTGAGAATGAAAGGGGCACTATTAATATTAGCACAGGAACGAAAGATGTAAACTGTCCCGGGCAAGTCAGGATGTCTGCTCACCTTGCTTATGAGGCCCTTTGTTATCTGACCCCCACCTGCCTCTCCAGTGCACATTGAAGCTCCACTTCCCTGAAACCCCCTGCGGCCCCCAGATCTGCCAGTGTTCTCTCTCACCACCTGTCTCCACTCTGAATGCTCTGTGGCCCCATTCACCTCCTGTGCCCGGCCCAGGGACCTAGTCCCCATTCACCTCCTGTGCCCGGCCCAGGGACCTAGTCC